CTTATCACTTTGCAGAATGTAGCCAGGATAATCTTGCCTAATCCAACCGGTTGCATGGTTAATTTTCAACCTAACTTGTTGCCAATTTCAATTTGTTTTTCATGTTTCATCGTTTCAGACCTGGAGGAGTGCAGCACCAACACCCATAACTGTGACGTCAAAGCAGATTGTGTGAATACCGTGGGCTCATTTTCCTGTAACTGTAAAGCTGGATATACTGGAGACGGACAAACTTGCAATGGTAAGAAAAAAGCAAACAAACTATCAAAACAAACTGAAAAAAAAAATATGAAAGAAAAAATGAATACATTTGATGTTGATGCTGAATGTACTAACAGTTTATGAAATTTATTCTCTGTTGACGGGTAAGGACTTATGTTTTATTTAGAAAATAAATCTTCAACTTACCGCTCTTCTGCAATCCTTGACTGAAAACTATAGTTGGTATAGAAACGAATTGCGTCTTTTTTGGGTACAAAAAGTACATGATATTTTCCCAGTTTTTTTCGCAGGCGCAAACAGTTTCAAAACAGCACACGACTGCAAATAACGATCTCGTTATTTTACGCGGCAGCTTAAGCACCCTTAAGCGTCTTTTTAACAATATTTTTTAACCGTTACTTTACTCATATTTTCCCACTGACATGTTATCTGCTCAGAGAAGGAAAATTCTTTTTGGCTATGGAAAAACTAAGAGCATTGAAAAACATATAATTAACAAATAGCCCATGATGGCAAAGCCAATGAAAACTCTTGAATTGCATCATCCAATGATCTAGATTTTAATAATATTATGTACACATAGCATGTCTCAGATTCGTATTCGAAAACATGCCACAAATTTGATTCTCCTCCCAACAAGCCGCCGCTGATTTCAATGTTAGTCTGCTGGGAAATTTTCACGTTAGATGAGCAGCTGAAATATGCCGAACTAATTGTTTCTAATCTCATTTTATCCTCTTGTACATTAGTATTTGATATTTATCTTATATATATTTGTTTTGTACATCGAACCGATTTCCGAAACTGTATTGTCAAAAATATTTCGCACATTAGCATATTGTTCGTTTTAAATTATATTACCTGATTGTTGTTATAAATTCAAATAACAACTGTGAACGAATTCAAATTATATAATAAGTCTGATTACCGTTTTACGATTGAGTAAGTCTTTTTATTTACTGAAAGTGGTTTTCAATTGTTTTTTCAAGAAATATTTTTTCATTAAATGATCCTGCCTACCGTAAATATTGGACGGACACTTCTCAAGCTGTATGCTTTTTGATGGAATAGTTAGTCGAATGACATTTCCAACTTTTATGCCATGTTTACTCCTTTAAACTTCGTTTCAGACATAGACGAGTGCTCGTCAAACTCTCATAGCTGTGATGTGAATGGTGTTTGTAACAACACTCGTGGATCTTACACTTGCACGTGTAAACCTGGATATTCAGGAGATGGCAAAAATTGCACTGGTAAGTAATGTTTACTTAACAAAACCTGTAAAATTCTTTGGCTAAAGACAACTACTGCGAAATGACGTCACGTGAAAATCAGGCCAGTCAGTTTGGGCTTAACAAATCCATAGCATGTAAACTGATAAAAAAAAAATCGTCTTTTAATTCGCCCCTAGTCACCGACCAACCTCCATGATGTAAGCTTTTAGCGAAATGTTTTGGCTTTTCATACATCTTAGAGCACGTCATTTTGCGTTTTGAAATTTGTAGATCTCCGTTCTTCAGAAATGACGCTCTGGTAGAAATTCCTACCAATATATCATGACAAGTCTGGCTGCGTCAAGGAAAGAACTGACTACCACATAAAGTCACGGTTCCCATACAATGAATTTCTCACTTTCCTTTGCAAAACGAGTTCTTTTGATATGGAAAAATGTTCTTCTGACCAGTAGAAGCAACATGGCTTCTATGAGAACGCTCTACAAACAGGACTATTTCCCTAAAGAAAGATTTCTTTAATAAACATGGTAAAACTCTAATCACAACAAGTACTATCAAATTTACGATTAAGTACTATTTATATCAATACTAGTAACAAGACTGGTTACTTCAGAACATAAAACACTTTTTTTGGAACAAGTTCAACACAATTTATGTCTTTTTTTATCTGCCGTGTTTCTTGTGACCCACAGATATCGATGAGTGCGTCAGCGGTGTACACGACTGCCACCGTTTAGCTTCATGTACAAACACTGCAGGGTCCTACACATGCTCGTGTAACCTTCCTTCATCAGGAGACGGTAAAACTTGCGGGTACACCGCGCCAGGTCAGTAGTTTACGTTGATCATGCTTAAATTCAAGTTAAGCGAAGCATTTATTTACATTTTCAGGTTCCATTGGTCAGAGTTATGTTCAAACTAAACAACTGAGGTTGTTCTTAGCAACAATACGGTGTTTTCTTCCGTGCAATGGTTTGATAAAACGATTAATTTTCACCAAATCTAATTCATGAGATGCATGAGTGGTCCACTGTCTGTGGTAGAGTGACCTGCCTTTGCTGGCCCCTACTTAGGCGGAATTTTGATAATTTGCTGAACCCACATTGACTGTGATTGACTGGATTGCGGTTGTATAGCGAACTCATGCATATTCGGAAGATGAATGAAGTTGAATGTTGTACTGCGTGAACTTAGATGATCCGGCATGACCATTAAACTACTAAAGCGAATCCTGAAAAAGACAATGGTAAATCGGCAATAGAGAAAACAAATAAAAAACTTGAATTTCCAATAACACATGAAACTACAATTTTGAATGCTAAAAATACAAGCAAAATTCAAAAGTTGAATTTTGGCGGACATTGAACGCCACAAGCAAGACTTCGACCCTTTATAACTTTTTCAATATTACAAGCTGATTCTTCCATTGTGATTTCTCGGAGGTCAGCGCCAAGCATTGGTTATGATGTTACTTTTTATGGCAGATATCATCCGTATATGTTCTTGTTCAGGAATTAAAATCATTCAATTGCTTAAAGATTACTGATCATTGCGACACAAATTTAGGACATGATATTACAGATTAGATTTGTTTGCTGTGCAAGGTGTTTTATAACGACCACATTTAAAATATGTCTTCCGTAATTGTTGCAGAACAAACGATACACCTTAAGTCAGCGTCACATTGAATTGGGCGCAAGTAAAAATGATCTTTCTAAGACTGTTGAAGATGAGTGTTAATTATTTGCAAAACAAACTTTCAACATGACAAACTACTGTAATTAAAACATATGTGAGTCACAAAATAGATTCAAAGAACGTTTTTATATTTTATTTTCGCAGCGGGTCTGAAACATTCTAGCATTCTGGGGAATAACCAGATTTTTTTGGCATGGCTCGATAAATGGTTAAAGCCTGTGACTCGTCAATCTTCTTACTGGCATCGCTGTTACCGGGCAACTGTAAATGGCTGGTCTTCCTATACCTTCCATTCAAACTGTGACAACAAAGGCCCATCTGTCACAATCATCCGTGTTGGGAAATATATATTTGGAGGATACACAAGTCTCTCCTGGGGTAAGTGACATGATGAATTTCATCTTATCACAGGCGACCCAAGCTCAAGCTGTGAGTCAGCGAGATCAAATTGCACAATAGCGATCACATAGAATTATCAGAAAATATTTTTAGGGAGCTATCTATAGTGGCGGAAGATCTTTTACAAGTAAAAACTTGTTAAAAATGGCTTGCAAAGAATCAGTAAAGCAATTACATAGAAAAAAATACTATCAAGGAAATTAAGTCTATGATGCTTAGAATTTTGCGGCTAGTCCCCTTTCCTATGACACATCACGAATAAATATGCCGAGAGAAACACTTGCCTTTTTTAAAGTGCCACTAACCCCCCAAATTTTTTTCGCTAATACAAATTTCCTTTTTCTTCTGATCACCACTGCGAAACAATTATTGTTGTAGCTATTTTTGTTAATTTTCTAT